TGCGGTTTGTTGTTGAGTTGCCAGCAGTGGACATTGTCACTCGTGTGCCTGATGGTTGAGTACTACTAGTGGCGGGCAGTTGAGTGATGTTGGTGTCAATGTTCAGAGCTTGCAATTCTCTTTGACCCATCCGGACCATGCAGGAGTTGACTCAGAGGAATGAAACCCAGTCGACTCAGTTAATCAGAAGATCAGTTGACTGGTTGGAGTCAGATGATGGTCAAAGTAAAATTGAAACAACACGTCAAAAGGAGAAATCGGATCCCTTGCTCCGTTGAAAACTCCTGATGACAAGAAGGAGGTGAACAGGGGCAGCACGAGCTGGCAAGACTCAGCGCTTTCTTGCATTAAAATACTCCAAATCGAATGGCAAGGGCGATAGGGCCGCTCAATGCCAACACTCCACAATAAGCCAAACTAGAAAATAACTCGTTGCCAATCGTTGGTCCCTAAAATATCAACTGGCTTTCTTTTCCGGTGGAATGGATAGGTGTCTCAATGGCGGCCACAGGGAACTTCAGAGCATCACAGAAAACACAGCCCCAACAAAGGAGATCGCAAATTGACGTACTCTCTTTCAATGTAGTTCCAGCAGACACTGCATCTTACGCTCTTTTCAACAGACGCTTTTGTTATACTCCTATTGGTTACTCAATATTCCAGGCCTAACTATTATTGGCCCTTCTAAGTACTCTTATCGTTACTAAATATTTCAGCACCGTTACTGAATATTTCAGGCCAAAGGAAGACATCCCTTTGCCAAACCAAGACTAGATAGCGCACCTAAAAACCACTATTTCTAATGCATCCCTTTTATCAAATCCCTTTGATCTAGGTTAAGTCATAGTGAATTCACTTTATGAAGATCTATTGATCGTTCCTTTTACAGTCCATAAATTAAATGAAACTTACTCAACATCATGAAAGTTATCATCAATGGTACTGCCTTTGACCAGAACCCAAAGCACGATGCTCCAATTCCTCTTTACAAGGAAGTATCCAAATGGGACCATGAAGCCAAAGCCAAAATCAAACAAAAGATATGACGCAACCCTCAAAACGCATCACCAACCTACAAAAAGGAATTCACGCCTTGGGATGGCGATACCATAGAAGACTACTGCCAATTCAGATTTACTTGGAAGGAACTCAAAATCGGACAAGCCCTGAATGCTGCTGGAAAACACCAGACAAATCTATCTATTCTCTCCGGTCAAGCAAAGGAGAATTGCAAACCACCAATCTCTCAACTTTCAGCCAATCAGCAAACGACCCAGCAGGGTTTTGACACAGCTATAGAAAGTTTTGCCCTCTGCTACTGCACTTTGGATGCTTGTCAGAAGCAACGTCGCTTCATCAACAGAGCTTTGAGATTGCCCAAGAATATGTCGATCCGAGTCTTCTGGAACACAATACTTTTCATGTTCCGATGCTACCAACATCTCCCTGGAACTGGTACAACACCAACACCAGAACATTGACATGAAATCTTGATCCAATGTCTGCCTACAAGTGTCGAGAATGATATGACAAGAGGTGACTACTGTTGGGAGAATCCTAACAAAACGGACATCGATCTTATCAACTATTTGACTCGTCTCCAAACCATTGGTTTCTTGGAAACAAGGTCCATTCCACCGAAAACAACAGTTACAAAGAAAAAGAAGGAACGCCACAATTTTCAGATAATCAACTCCGTAGCTGTAATGAGAGCCTCAACGCTCTAGCTACCTCTGGAGTATACTGAGCTCGAATCTACGTCGGCTATGGATTGCCTACAATAGGAACAGGTGCCAGTGATGCTGGGCTTCAACCTGTGGATGAACAGTCTCACCACTTCCTATTAGATCTTATTCCACTGCTATTCTTGCCAGAAGTCGATCAACAATGATCTCCTCAAGCAGGTACAAAAAATCTCTTCCGAAAGCCGCCTGCGTCAGCTCTCACCAGCTGTCGCGGCGCATAAAGCACATACGCACATGTTCTTCACAAACTAGTCACAGACTAGATCTACCTTCAATACTTACCCATCTCTGTACGTACTCGAACCGTACTTCTGTCCGTGTTTGATATCACCAATGTCCGACTTCACTGTCCGACATGTTTGACTGTTCTTTTACCTATCAAGATCCCATTTCACCAACACACTCCTGCCGTATCGACGACTCCAGTTGCGATAACGAATCCTTTTTCTTTTAATATGTAACGTGTATATATAACCCAAGAAGGTTATATCTAATCTTCCTGTTCCCCTTGGATCAATGCCCGAAATTTGCGGAACTTTTCCCCTTGCAAAGGTTTTGTCATATAATCCCCCCACATGTCATCGGTCGGCATGTGTTCGATCGTAAGATTTCCTTTCTCAACCTGATCAGTGACAAAGAAATAACGGATGTTCAAAGCGCGGCTTCTCTTTCCTGCACTCAATCTCCCGTTCTTTTCGAGGAGAATAGAGCTCATGTTGTCTTGGTACAAGATATTCTTCTCAATCGGATAACCCTGTTCTTCCATGAACATGCGTGTCCACAACACTTGTGTGATCGCATCATCTACTCCAATTAGTTCCGCATGTGTACTGCTGCGGCTGTTTAACTTCTGTTTCTTGGACATAGCCTGCATGGCTCCACCACCCATGGTCATCACTCCTCCTGTGTGACTCTTGAAGTCAGGGTGAACCGCAAAAGACGCATCAACATACCACTTCATTACACGAAGGTTGTCAGCGCTCAGCGTGAGATGCCATTTCTTGGTAGAGTGCATGTATCTCATAAGTCTCACGAGTTTATGCCAATCACTCTGATTTGGATTTTGAACTCGTGATGCCAAAATTGCCACCGTCGGATGCATATCCAGACGCGCGCGTTTGGTCAAAAACAAATGTTTTGCAACAAACCGGTGAAACTCGGTCTGTTGATCTTTATCCAATAGTTTTCCTTTTCCTACCTCCAGCAAATTATTGCCAGCAGGTGTTTCCTGTTTGTCATCCACTTTAAACTTGACAGAAAACTCGTCGAGCATTCTTTGAACATAATCGTCCATTCAAATCTTCAGCGTGCCTTTCTTTGAATAATCCAATGTCATTCCCAGATAGGTGTGAACTTGTCCACGTGTGCAAGTCACTTCCTTTAGTCCTCCGTATCTCTCATTTATCCATGTAAAGAAATCTTCAAGAACTCTTTGTTCCATGTGGCTCGCTAGCACATCATCAACATGAAACCTGATAGTCAATTGCTTTCCGTTGACCATCATATTCGCAATGCACGGATCGTATACATTAAACACGAATCCATATTCTTCCAGTGATGCCCTCAGATTTTGGTACCATAGCAACGAAGCCTGTACCATCCCATAAATAGCATGGAGGATCACAACATAGATCACTCGACGTCCATTTTCGATTACTACAAAATCCCGATACGTCGGATCTAGGTCAATCATGTAGTCGACCAGCAGCCCAGTAATTTTCATTATTACTTGATCTTCTCCTTCTTCCTGCTCGGGCATCAATGTTTGGATAAACGCGTTAGGTATATCCATTGACATGAAGTTTCTACTTTCGTGGGCATCAATGACACCCGTGCAGATAATAGCTTCATGCGAAGCTGTGGGACTTGCAGTGTCTTCACAAGACAACCAATCACGGGTCTCGTTACCTTTGAATACACAGCGCCCTTTGATTGTCACGCCATCATTCTTTTCGGCAAGTAGCATCATTGCATCTACGGCCTTCTTTCTTTCGGTCGGTTTTAGTTTCTCAATACTGATCGGTGTCCAGCAACTGCGCTTGATTAATTGGTCAAGTTCTTTCATGGCCGCGTCTTTACCTCGCTCCTTGAATATTTTCAGTCCTTTATTCAGATAGTATTGCTGAATGAACGAGACTCCGTGTTGCCCATTGATACCACCGTTGTCACCCTCGCGTATTTGTTGAATAACACGAGCGACTACCAACGCTTCGTCAGCGTCATATTTGCCTTTGTTTGTGTTCCCCACTTGTTGAAATGCCAAATTGTGCACGCGTTCTCGGATGGAACGCTCGTGCTTAGGCCGAAACTATAGTGACACAGAAAACGGAAAAACTGCCCCTTTTTCCGTTCCAAACAGCAAATTTCGAATCCATAGTGTCGGATAATCACCCTAAACGGAAAAACAAACTTTCCGACAACCCGATTCGATCGGAAAAATGGCTACTTTTTCCAATCTTGGAAAGTCGATCGGAAAGTTAATACGACACCATTTTATCCAATCAAAACCATTCAACATCATTTACACGATTTTTTACTGCGCATCTCAACATGATGTTTGGCACAACATCTTCAACACCAAAACACGATGCAAGCGGAAACAGTGGATCCACTTGATGATGAAGAATATAAAGAGGAAATCGCCTTTCTCTTTGATATTCAGCAAGATTAGTCCGAATCTATGATGGAAGAGGACGAAAGCGCCAATAGAAGATTCTAATTTGCCCATTCAAGTTTCAGACTGAGGGGGCGTCAGTGTCCATGGCATGGAGCAACTTGGTAGAGTCGTGCAGAAAATACTTGGAATGTGCATTTTGAATTCTCAAGAAGTGGCTCATGGTACTCAAGTACGCCACTTGACTTCGGGACATTGAAACCATTGGAAACGTGTTCCAACTGTGTTGCATCCTTTCACAATATGCTCCAGGAACTTGATGAATATGATGACTGGGAAGAGTTTGATGTGGATGGGAATGTTGAGAGCTTGACTGTTGATCAAGACAGGAACCAGTCCTACAGCGAGAAAATGGAAGGGAAACAACCGTTGTTGATGGAGATACTAATGTTCTTGTCGGGACGAGAACCACCAATGACGAGTACACCCAGAGTTTCACACGTAAGCATCACATAGATACTTGATAGAACACTAAATGTCAACTTAAAAATGATAGCAAAGTACTATTATAAAGGTCGCTCATTTCAAATCACAGTTCACTAGTTTGTTTATCATTCCAATGAAAATCTATGTTCTGTTCTCTCAGTCATAGATGTTGTCGCTATCATCAGAGTCGACAAAATTAGCAATCTCTGCTGCTCAGAAACTTGCATATCGGCGAAGATTTTGTGGGGCTGCTGGAATTGTTTGACTTCGGCCCTGTAGCCGGAAGTAGATTTGGTGGTCATTGTCGTTGTTTCCGATGGCTGCTTTTCAGATAGAGGATCTTTCGATTTGTTGCAGGTGCAAAGATGAATGGACGACTCTTGTTGCAGGATACCCGTGGATACTGTTGGTAAATGCTGTCAGTGAAGCTGATGCTGCAGTAGGTATCCATGATACAACATGATAGCAGCGGAAATGAAAATAAAAGGAATCCCACAGAGTTTTCAGTTTCAGTTTTCTCGTCATCACTATGGTTTCAGTTCACGGGAAGTGAAAAATGACTCGAGGCCATGCCTGCGCGCCAGAAAACTAGTGTTTTTTCCGATGTCACTATAGTTTCGGCCTTAAGGTTTCCTTGCAACTGTGCTCCATTTCTTTGCGTGTCAATTCGTTTCTTAATCGCTTGATACAGCGAGACTCGGAGTCTTTTCATTCGTGCTTTTCTTCTCATCGCACGCCTGTTTCTCAAAACGTTTGGCACAGGCGGATTCCTTCTTTGCAGGTATGCCTGTCCAAATCTTGATTTCTCTCTTCTGTATCTCTCAGTGGGTCTCATTTTTACCCCTTGTGAGAAGTAGGATCGATTGTGTCTTGGGCGAAGTACCCGTTTCGCTCCAACTTTGACACCGTCGTCACTGTAGCTTCTTACAATTCCTTCGGTGTTGGACTCATCATCATCTGTGTCTGCGAATCTCACTCCTGCGCGAGCGACACCATCTTCCTCTTCTGATTCAACTTCCGCATCTTCTTGTGTGTCGTCATCAAACTCGAACAGAACCTCTTCTTTGTCTGGTTTTCCAAGTTCCACTAACTCAGCTGCCAGTTCGTCTAACATTTGCTTGGTCTCTTCATCGTCTAGTTCAGACTCGTATTCGTCTTCGTAGTCCATGTCCTCATTGGCAGTTATCCATTTGTGTTCTTGGTAATCTTCGTCCATCAGATCTTCAGCATCTTGTTTAGCCTTAATCTTCTTGAACATTCTGTCGAACATTTCGTCCTCTACCTCGCTTCGCTATGGTATCTTGGGTTTCTGTCCCTGTCGAACCTCGCTTCCATGATGTCTGCTTCAGCATCCATTAGTAATTCTTCAAGTTCGTCATCTGGAATATTTTCATTTCGGAGGGTTACATTACTCAGTCTTTCAATTTTGTTTACTGGTACATAGTTTTCATCCCACAGTTCATCTGGGTCCACTCCTTTGAGCAAATCACCATTGAGGATTAGCTCGCCATTACGCTTGGAATAGGTGCGCAATTCCGTCACTCCTTCCAATCGTGCGTCTTCTTCGATAATCTTGATGACTTGGTCAGTCATCGGAAGAACCTTTATTTTTGCACGTCGTGCCTCGCACTTTGTGTTCAGATCATAGATACGGTGCCCTTCTTGAATATTGTCGGTGGGTCCCATGTAAACACCTTCGATCGTTCAAGCAGCCATATTATTCTTGGTGTCATGACCATATCCGTGGACATAGGCGCCAATCTCAGCGACAAATTCGTTGGAGGCATCAACCATTCGTTGATGCATAATCATCTGCGGGCTGTAGTATGCAGACAACCCACCTTTCGCCGGATAGTAGTTGGATATTTTTGCAACTCGTGCCATAAGTGCCACAGTCAACTTCTTTGGAATCGCCTTGAATGGCATTCGGTGAAAGTGAATCCGAAACAGTGCCTTTAAATGCTGATTATTTCTTTCCGCTTTCGGATCATGTTCGCCTCTGCTGGCGTAATTCATATGAACTTCAAGTTCGTCTTTCACGGGTTCAAATACCGGACGGAACTCCCCATCGCAGTAAATCTTTTCCATTGTGAAATCACGTGCATTATATATTCGAAAGCATTTATCAATTGTGTCATACAATGCCGTTTTGGATCGTGAAGCCAAGGGTATGCAGCACCGGTGTCTCACACTCCCATCAATGGTTGTGAGTCCAAATGAATTGTTAAGATCAATGTGCAGCACAACACTCAGATTGTGCATTAATAACTCCTTTGGTATTTCTATCCAGTCATCCCGCACTCCTTCAGGTGTGGGACGCTTCGTCTTTCCTTTTAGGACCGAAGAACCAGGTCCATATATTTTTTCGGCAATGATTGCATCTTCTTCATTCACATTGCAGTTCCTGAACAGACCAGATCTTACTGCAATACAAAACGCTTGCACTCCTGGTGCACCAGCCATATGATACACTGATCATGCGCGATTTGCCCGCTCAACTTGTTTATCAGTGAACCCTTCGATATTCTCCCGTACCGTCTGTATGCCACAATAATCGAAATTGGAATAGCTAATTTTTAAAATTCTACCACAGAAAATAACACCACATTTATGGCATTCAGTGTGTGCGACACCGATCGCGTCGCAGTCACAATTTCCGCATTCTCTGTATTCACATTCAGAGTATTCGGACCCTTCATCACCCTCTGCCCTACCATCGGGCATGAAAGTATACAATCCGTTTCAATGCACATACCTCATTCTCTGTTCCCCCTTCGTAACGATGAAGGAGTTTTCAATGTCAGTGTCCATAACGACACGGAATCCAAGCTTCACAAGCTCGGATAAACTATCAAGGTTACATTGCGCTTCAGTATCTAGCAAGCAAGTGTGTCCTTCGATAATACTTGATTCGACCTGTTGATGCAGGTCACGTTGGCCAGTGTTCGTACCGTAGTTGAACATGTAATCCAGGTCAGACACATTGCCCGGTTTGGCGTAATCTTTGTTCATTTGTAGGCTGAACGTAGATCCAGAATCAAGATGTACACCAAGATCGATATCCCAGTGCTTACTTCCATTAGATTTGAAAGGTTTCTTGTTGTCTTTGGTCCATTGAGAACAGTGCTTCAATGAATCCATCTTCGAGGTCGACTTGTAAATCTGCGTGTTCAAGCTTCCATCGCTGACCATGCTGTCATCGTCCTTGAAAGTACTGGCAGCTTCTAGTTGTGCTTGCCATTTCTTCATTAGCAACTCTCCCCTGTCTTCAGTGGAGACTGCTTTCTTCTTCAGAATTGGTCTTACACGTACTTGTGCGAGGTTCCATCCTGTAATCCTACCATTAGATTGTCCATCATCGACAGACCTGCCTTGTACCACATAAGAACCGGGTACATCCGTAGCACCAGAAGTGCTATTTCCACTCCTGTCAACAACAGCTCGTTGCATATTGCTTCGATGTTGTTGACCAGTTGATTGCGTTCCAGTGACGCTAGACGCGACATCCGACTGCGCTGCAGATGCAGTCGCAGGGACTTGGAGATTGGCTCTCCCCGCTCGTCTTGTAGTAGTAGTAGTAGTAGTGGAGGCGTCGCTGTATCGTCCTGGGTCGCTCCATTCCGCTTGCGGGCGTGTGGAACGTTTGGGACAACAGGTGACTCCATGGCCAGTATCTCCGCAACACCAGCAACTAAAAGCCGGTCGTGAAGATGTCGTTCGAGCAGCCGCCTGTGCGTTGCTCACTCCGTTCGGGGCACTGCTGTTCGCATGCAACACATCTGTACCAAGGATTTCGAATACTTGGTCAGCTTGAGCTTTGACATTTAGGTTTTCCCAGTTCCTATCAAGTTGAGCCTGTCTCGAACTTTTGAAGAACTCGGAGTCGTTCTTTCCCGGCTTGTATACCGTTTGAGTGCCTCTTAAAGCCTCAAAGTCCACATGGGCCATATTTCTCACACTCCAGATCATATCTTGAGCGTAGTCCAAGCTCTTGAGCGTAGTCCAAGCTCTTGAGCGCGATGGCCTCAAGCAAATATATTGTCACCTGCTCGTGAGTGAAGTCAGGATTGTGAGGATGGTATTGCTTCGGTCTGTCGGCCTTCTTGCCGTGAGACCCTCGACCAGTCTGCTGCGCAGATCTTCCTCCACGGCCACCTTGACCGCCTCTGCCTTGGTTTCTTCTACCAGGCATCTTGCTCTGTAGTCCCTCCTACTTTGCAATGTTCAAAAATTACCTCTTGTTGATCGACTGTCAGATAATCAACTCCGTAGCTGTAATGAGAGCCTCAACGCTCTAGCTACCTCTGGAGTATACTGAGCTCAAATCTACGTCGGCTATGGATTGCCTACAATAGGAACAGGTGCCAGTGATGCTGGGCTTCAACCTGCGGATGAACAGTCTCACCACTTCCTATTAGATCTTATTCTACTGCTATTCTTGCCAGAAGTCGATCAACAATGATCTCCACAAGCAGGTACAAAAAATCTCTTCCGGAAGCAACCTGCGTCAGCTCTCACCAGCTGTCGCGGCGCATAAAGCACATACGCACATGTTCTTCACGAACTAGTCACAGATCTGGATCTATCTTCAATACTTATCCATCTCTGTAAGTACTCGAACCGTACTCCCGTCCGTGTTCGATATCACGAATGTCCGACTTCACTGTCCGACCAGTCTGCTGTGCAGATCTTCCTCCACGGCCACTTCGACCGCCTCTGCCTTGGTTTCTTCCACCAGGCATATTGCTCTGTAGTCCCTCCTACTTTGCAATGTTCAAAAGTTACCTTTGTTGATCGACTGTCAGATAATCAACTCCGTAGCTGTAATGAGAGCCTCAACGCTCTAGCTACCTCTGGAGTATACTGAGCTCGAATCTACGTCGGCTATGGATTGCCTACAATAGGAACAGGTGCCAGTGATGCTGGGCTTCAACCTGCGGATGAACAGTCTCACCACTTCCTATTAGATCTTATTCTACTGCTATTCTTGCCAGAAGTCGATCAACAATGATCTCCACAAGCAGGTACAAAAAATCTCTTCCGGAAGCCGTCTGCGTCAGCTCTCACCAGCTGTCGCGGCGTATAAAGCACATACGCACATGTTCTTCACGAACTAGTCACAGAGTAGATCTACCTTCAATACTTATCCATCTCTGTACGTACCCGAACCGTACTTCTGTCCGTGTTCGATATCACCAATGTCCGACTTAACTGTCCGAAATGTTCGACTGTTCTTTTACCTATCAAGATCCCATTTCACCAACAACAATTACAAAAGGGACCGTAAAGACGGCCCAACCAAGAAGAAAATTTGCGATCTTACTACAACAGTAAAGGTCACAATTAAGAGTAGTGAGAGTAACAAAATTAAAGTATTACATGTATTGATTGACACTGGCTGTTCCAAAACAATCTTCAAACAAAATGTCATTCCAGACTCAATGTATAGCAAAAATCATGTAGCAAAGAAAAAAATTGGTCTACCAACGCTGGTACTTTTACAACCAAGTCTAAATGTAACGTCACATTCTGTATTCCAGAATTCACCTCAAGTTGTGAAATAACCTTCCCAATGCATGTGGACGAATATTCATACTCTAGCTACAACATGATCATTGGACATGATCTACAAAACTCACTAGGCATTGACATCCTTTGGTCCAAACAATTGCTAATGTGGGACGGAATCTCAGTTCCCATGAAAGGTTACACAGACCGTTCTGATGAAAACGAAGACAAACTTCAAACCATGTTTGAAGAGATCATGGAAATAGAACAAGAAGAAGAACTATTTGGCGCGGCTAAACTTCTGGATGCTAAATACAAAAAAGCAGATATTAATGCGGACATTGAACAAATGAATCAGTTATCAGCGCACAAAAAAACCATGTTGAAGAGTTTGCTCTGCAAATATAAAGAATTATTTGACGGCACTTTAGGCACGTGGAACATTCTGCCAGTTGATTTCAAACTTAAACCAGGAAGTAAACCATTCCACGCAAAACCTATGCCAATTCCACTCATACATAGAGACACAATCTGCAAAGAAATTGATCGTTTAGTTTGCATTGGCATTCTCAAGAAGGACACTTTCAGCAAATGGAGCGCTCCTTCATTTATTGTTCCCAAGGCAAACGGACAATGCCGCCTTGTCACGGACTTTTGAGTCTTAAACTTAATGCTCCAAAAACAAGTCTACCCACTTCCAAAAATTTCAGATATCAGCAGATTTACTTATGCCTCCGCCATTGACTTGAACATGGGATATTGGAACGTACGTATTACCCCCAAGTCCTCTAAGCTCTGTACTATCATCTTACCTTGGGGCAAATATAGTTACCAAAAACTGCCCATCGGCGCAATGCCCTCAGCTTACATTTTTCAAGAAGCTATGAATCGCCTCATGGAAGGCCTCAGCGACGTCTTAACATACTTAGATGATGTCCTCTGTGTCACCAAAGGTGACTTTGAAGACCACCTTCAAAGGCTAGAACTATGTCTCCAACGGCTCCACAAAGCCGGCCTTAAAGTTAATTTACCCAAATCTGAGTTCGCAACTCAACAATTTAAATACTTAGGCTACTTGGTCCTGCGCCAAGGCATTTGCCCTCTTGCTTCCAAAGTGGGAGCGATTCAGCGGTTGAAACCCCCAAAAACTTTGAAACAATTACGCTCATTCCTTGGCATGCTCAATTATTACTGTGATATGTGGTAAAAGCGCTCACATATGTTAGCTCCGTTTACTGAACTAATCAAATCAAGCAAAAAAGGACGTCCATTAGTATGGAAACAAGAACACACAGAAGCGTTCAAACATGTGAAACGAGTGATTGCAAAAGACACTATGCTTGCATTCCCTGATTTCTCCAAACCTTTCACAATACACACTGATGCTAGCGACTTCCAGCGCGGTGGAGTGGTTTCCCAAGAAGGAAAACCTATTCCTTTCTACAGCAGAAAATTAAATCCTGCGCAAAGGAACTGGAGAACGCAAAATGTTGTCAATCGTTGATACATTACGTGAATACCGCAACATCTTGCTTGGTCGCAAAATTATCGTATATACCAATCACAAAAATCATACAGACCCAAAAACCATTTCTCAATCCCTAAGAATCCAACAATGGAGATGGATCATTGAAGAATTCAGGCCAGACATAAGACATATTGATGAATCTGCCAATGCGGTCACCGATTGCTTAAGTTGTATGGACGCAGACTTCACAACAAAATATGATGAATTTGACAAAGTCCAACTAGCTGAAAGGTTCAACATGGACTTGCTGGAAGGTTATAAGGCGGAGAAATATCAATTCCCCCTTGACACTGGTCTAATCGCAGAGTATCAAAAGAAAGATAAAACTCTAATGCGACATTTACAAAACCATCCAGAATACTTTTCCAAAGAGGTGCATGACACCAAAATAATCTTATTCCACAAACAGATTTATGTTCCTAAGCCACTACGACAGCAGCATGTTCTACAGTGGTATCATGACATGTTACAGCACCCTGGCGTAACACAAACTGAGCAAACCATTTGCCAACACCAAACTTGGCCAGGTCTACGACACGACGTCAAGACTCATATGAAGCATTGCCGCAAATGCCAACTATGTAAAAATCCAAAACTTAAATATGGCAAACTGCCAGTGAAAGAATTTGCCTATTAGCCTTGGAACACCATTTGTGTTGACCTTATCGGTCCTTACATTGTAACTACAAAAGACGGCAAAGATATCAAACTACACGCCATGACGATTTGTGATCCAGCAACAGGATGGTTCAAACTTGTAGAAATTGATGACAAAAAGTCACTTACTACATCAACGATGCTCGACCGTGTATGGTTCTCGCTATATCCAAGACCTCAAGAATGCATTTTTTACAATGGTAAAGAATTCCTTGGCAAAGAATTCCAAGAAGTACTAAAAAGATATGGAATCAAACCGGTCCCTACAACAGTCAAGAAAAATTATGTAGATTAAATCCACCAAATGCTCGGAAACATGCTCCGTACAAACAAGTTAGAGGAATTCAATTATGATGATCCTTGGACCCAAATCTTAAGCAACTGCGCTTGGGCTATTCGCTCCACTGTCCATACTGTCATGGAAGCGACACCCGCTCAACTAGTTTTTGGTGGTGATATGCTTTTCGACCTCTCATTTAAAACGAAATGGCATGATATTAAAAGCAAACGTCAACAAGCCGCAAATAAGAATACACGCAAGAAAACTCCAAACGCCAGCCTCAAAAATACCGCGTGGGTGATTTGGTCCTCCTTGATTGCGGCAAATTGCAACGAAAAGTCCTGCCCAAACAAACAGGTCCATATCAAATACTCCGTGTCTACGACAATGGCACAATCAAACTACAACGTGACTTCTATGCACAACAGGTAAGTCTCCGACAATGCGTTCCGTACTACACCCCCATCAACGCTTGATTCCGCCATGACAGCGAATGATGTTCTCTCTACAGACTGCTGGCCAGACTTTCAACATACTTCCAGCAGATGCTGCATCTTACGCTCTTTTCATCAGACGCTTTTGTTATACTCCAATCGGTTACTCAATATTCCAGGCCTAACTATTATTGGCCCTTCTAAGTACTCCGATCGTTACTAAATATTTCAGCACCGTTACTGAATATTTCAGGCCAAAGGAAGACATCCCTTTGCCAAACCAAGACTAGATAGCGCACCTAAAACCCACTATTCTAATGCTCACAATTTCATTATCAACTGATATCAAATCCCTTTGATCTAGGTTAAGTCACAAATCAAACAAATAAAGTGAACCAATAACGCTCTGTCGTTATATCAGATACCAATAGAGCATACCATAGCTTGGAGCTCGGCGATCTCTGCATGTGGGGCCCACTGTGCATCCCAAAAGGCAAGCTGACGGAAACGGTTCCAACAGCACTTGTTGATTGTGGCATGATTGAGGTCAGACAAAAAATTGTTTCACACCTCATTGGGTAGTCTATATAACCATGAGGCCTTCCGCCGCATCTGATTCCATCTTCTCTTATTGTAGGGCCCGTGCCATGCAATCCATCTGTTTTTGACAAATTTGCCAATTGAAGGACTTGGTTGAGAATTTGCAGAAAGATAAACATCCATTTTCAACAAAAGATGAAAACGATGGAAAGGCAAGATTGTCGTACGAAGATGCCAAAGAAAGAGTGGTTGATTATATCCAAGCTTCTGGAATGAAATGTTCCGAAGACATGGTAAAATCAATTCGAGATGGAAAGTCGATCGACTTCAATGCGATCGCTCCAAGATTGAATGCTCCAACTCAAACTGAAGCTGTTGCAAGAGAAACAGAGATGGCCCAAAACAAGATTCTCTATTCTGCAAAGCTTGACAAGAACATGTGAAGATCAGCCTACTTTGAGACAAACAAGAGAACCGTCAAATCAAACATCATGCTGAAGTTTGTGACGAAGGCGATGGATATCAAGCTTTGAGGTGAAGCCAATTTCACGACTACTCTTGAAGATCCGATCCAACTCTTGAAGCATATTGAAGGATTCATGAAGAAGAGTGCTGATGCTGAGTACGATTTCTTGGATTTCTGGGAAGCGAATCAAAAGTTCTTTGCTATGAAGCAAGGAACAACGGAAAACTTGATGCATTTCAAGGAACGATTCTTGAGACAGGCTGAAGTCCTGCAAGATCTATATGGCG